GCGTCAAACTGAAACAAGCAAGCGCCCTTTTAATACTTCTTCCTTCCTACATTTACATTTTGAACACCACGCTTTACCCACCTGGATGTAGAAAGGTATTCCAGCGCTGCGTCGTGTGGCACACAGCTTGGATGACGGGTCACTGGATTTTACCTCCTCTAGGACCTCGGACAGCCAGCGGGCCGGAAGCTGCTGCAGACCCTGACTTCCACTCCTTAAACACACACAGATAAATAATAAACATAAATCATTTCAGCTTGTATATACTTAAAATTAAAACCTTTACATGAATTTCACATCTTGAGTCATTAAGTTACATATTTATTACCTTAATATCTATTTCATATTATCATATACAAGAATATTCAGTTATTTAAAAGATGCTAGTAGCTGAAAGAATACATTATTTTGTGCCTCATAATATATTATAATATAGATTCTGCTGCCGTACCACCAGACTTCTTCCCTCAGGCTGTGAGATTGTTAAATTCTTCCTCATCAATTCTACACCCCATCCTACAAATTAAATGTTTTTATTTTTTTGACTCAATGTTTTTTTAAAGTATTATGAAGGGAACTAATTTGAATTTCACTCTACAACCTTGCAAATGACAATAAAATAACCCTGAATTTCTTGAATTATTTACAGTCCTGCACTTTTAGTACTTTCTATGTTAACAGAGTTGTCAGCTGAGATGTTTAATACTCACATTAGCTGTTATTGTATGCATGTTTCCAAGATGGAAAGTTATGCTGCACACTTTTGCATGAATTAAATGCATTTAATGAATTTATTCTCATAAATAAATCCAATCTGTTTCTGCCAACACAACTGAGGGCTTCCAGCAAAATGAAAAACCATCATCAATCCACTGTAAAAATTTAATAATGTGTCACTTTCTTCAAGACAAAAACTTATTGTATGTGGATTCACAAGTGGTTGACCTTACAGAGGAGATACCTGCTCTGCACCTGTGACTTATTTACTCTTGTGTGCAGCATCTGGTGACCGTTTTAAAACAAATGCTAAGAATATGAATATGATGGCAAACACACACACCCACAAGAAACCGCTCTGCCCTGTTCTGTAAGAAGCAGCTGTTTAACAAGAGCCAGTGGAGCGGAGAGGGCAAATTAAAACAATCCAATGTGAAGGACAGAGCGAGGGCGCAGCGCTGCTAACACACACTCCAGTGTACTTAACGACACACACACACACACACACACCAGGAACACACAAACTCATATCTTGATAGCTCTACTCATCAAAAACATGATTGTTACCAGTGTTGTTTTCACCAAGTATGCCTTTGGTCATGCTGTTCTTTCCATCACTGTGGTCCAGACTAAATTAACCTTAATTAGATGGATTAGCTAAACATTGTAAAGACATTCATGTTCCCCAGAAGATGAATTGGATTTTGATGATCCTCTGACTTTTTGTCTAGTACCATCATCAGGTCAAAATTCCAAATAGTTTTATGCCCAAATACCAGTAAAACTAATATTCCCATCAGCCTCAGCTTATTTGCAAAAAGTGCTTATCAGCAAATGTAGCATGCTTACACACTACACCAAGACAGAGAATATGGATAGAAACTAAATATATTCAGAGGCAACATTTTTTGAATGAATGGAGCTCTACAACATCTAACACCAGGGCTAAAGAAAATTGCAGGGTTAATGGCAGACATACAAATGTAGGACTTTGACACCAGATCTCAGGGTTTGCATCCAGAGTCTTTTCCATTGCTATGTTTAGGCAGGAAGAGCACTTTGCTAAAGGTTAGGGAATGATTGTGGTTTTGGTTAAATGTTGAACTGTGAACTTTTAATCTAAAAAAATCCTTAATATTTTAATTTAAATATAATCTTGGTTGTCATAATGTTTCTTACTAAATGTACTTGCTGTACTTGCATGGTTGTAGATCATGTCTGGAAGACAAAGTGGAGATTTTATGATAATCTTTGTCAGAGTTGTAACTTTCAAGTAACCATGTGATATTATCTACAGCCATTGAATTACTGCATTGTATTACTGCCATCACATTGCAGCATAATGTTACTGCCATTAATGATTTGCTTATTTATAACATAAAAACTACATTCAGATAATTTATCAAGTAAATCCTATAAAAAACAAATATAGTAACAAAATAATGCCATCTATCTCTTACTCATGAGTAAGTTTCTGGTCTCTATCCAGTCACAGTGATGATCACTTCTGCTTTCACTGCAACAACAAAAACGTTCATTATTGAAAGTAATAACATGAGACAGCATAATGCCATTGAGATAAACTCTGTGTGTGTCTTTGATTAAACATTATTAATGCTAATTGAAGGCTTGCTTGGAAATTCAAAGTGAATAGAAATTCCATGCACAGTTGTTCTTTCAGCCAGTAAAAAATGAGTGCAGCTGGTTACTGTGTATAGTACCTGGTGGCTGTTAGACAACTTTTACATAATATGTGCCTTTGTGGTGTTTTTGGTGCTCCTTCTGACATTGTCATATTTGCCTTTTTAGATTGCTTTTTGTGTGGGTACCCCTGAGAGACGAATAATGTATTTTGAATTGAATTAAGAGATGTGATCAAACTGCTAAAAGTCGGTCACAATGCAAGGCAGAAATCAACTGTACTGCTACTTTATACTTTCTCACTTCTGCTTTATTTGAACCTCATCATAAAATGCACCCTCACCTCCCATGGGAAAAGAATTGGCTTCTTGTGTGTGGCTGTATGTGCTCATTGTCCTGTAAGACCACTGGACAAAATCTCCCAGCAAATGTCTTTTTTGTTCTCTCCACTTCAGTGTGATTTAAAACAGAGTGGAATTTAAGAGATACAAAGAACGGAGGAGCAGAGAAGGAGAAAGAGAGAAGGAAAGATTGTAATAAATGGTGATAGTGTTATATTTCAAAACCCTGAGGGGACCGGACCCAGCTGCAGCGAGAAAGCAGAGAAAGGGGAGAGAAATTTTGTTCGCATCTATGTGTGTGTGTGTGTGTGTGTTTGTTGGTGGCT